GGGAAATGAAAAAGAAAAGAAAAAGAAAACAAGAAACATAAATAAAATAAAGAAGAAGAAAAAAAAATAAATAAAAGGAAGAAAATGGTTATTAAAGGAACCGAGGAAAAGGAACTGAGAGAGAGAAAAAAAAGTAAAAGAGAAAAGAAAAAGAGAAAGAAAACAAAAAAGTAAATAAAAGCGAAAAGAAGAAGAAGAAAAAAAGAAAAGCTGACAATATTTAAAAAAAAGAAGAAGAGAGTCAAGAGAAAAGAATAATTTAAAAAGAGAAAATAAGGACAAAAAATCAATAATATTTCTAAATGAAGAAGAGAGAGAGAGAGAGAGAGAGAGAGAGAGAGAGAGAGAGAGAGAGAGAGAGAGAGAGAGAGAGAGAGAGAGAGAGAGAGAGAGAGAGAGAGAGAAGACGTGAAAGGGAATCGACGAAAGGAAGATGAAGTGAAAAAGGAGAAAGAAAGATAAAAAGAGAAAAAAATAAATGAAAAGAAAAAGAAGAAAAACGTAAAATTAATAATAATTTAAAAGGAAGAAGAGGAGAAAGAAAGAAAGAAAAAAAGAAAAAGAAATCGAAATAAAAGGAGGAAGAAGAAAGAATAAAATGAATAATGTTTAAAAAGGAAGAAGAGAGAAAAAAAAGAAGAAGAAAAAGGATGTGAATAGAAAACGAGGAAAAGGAAAGGAGAACAGAACCGAAGTAAATAATAATAATAATAATAATAATAATAATAATAATAAAGATAAGAAAGTAAAGAAAATAGATAAAAGTAAGCTATAAAAGAAAGAAGAAAGCTGTGAGGAAGAAAAAATAATATTTAAAAAAGAAAAAGAGAAAAAGAAGAGAAATGACTAGGAAAGGGAAATGAAAAAGAAAAGAAAAAGAAAACAAGAAACATAAATAAAATAAAGAAGAAGAAAAAAAAATAAATAAAAGGAAGAAAATGGTTATTAAAGGAACCGAGGAAAAGGAACTGAGAGAGAGAAAAAAAAGTAAAAGAGAAAAGAAAAAGAGAAAGAAAACAAAAAAGTAAATAAAAGCGAAAAGAAGAAGAAGAAAAAAAGAAAAGCTGACAATATTTAAAAAAAAGAAGAAGAGAGTCAAGAGAAAAGAATAATTTAAAAAGAGAAAATAAGGACAAAAAATCAATAATATTTCTAAATGAAGAAGAGAGAGAGAGAGAGAGAGAGAGAGAGAGAGAGAGAGAGAGAGAGAGAGAGAGAGAGAGAGAGAGAGAGAGAGAGAGAGAGAGAGAGAGAAGACGTGAAAGGGAATCGACGAAAGGAAGATGAAGTGAAAAAGGAGAAAGAAAGATAAAAAGAGAAAAAAATAAATGAAAAGAAAAAGAAGAAAAACGTAAAATTAATAATAATTTAAAAGGAAGAAGAGGAGAAAGAAAGAAAGAAAAAAAACGTGAAAGGGATCGGGCGAAAGCGAGATGATGTAAAAAAAAAAAAAAAGACAAAAGAAAAAAAAAAAAAGGAAAACGAAAGATAAGAAGGAAAGTAAACCGAAAGAAAAAGAAAGAAAGACGAGAAATTGATAATACTTTAAAAGGAAGATGAGGAGAGATAAAAACAAGAAGGAAAAAGAAAGACAAAAAGGAAAATAAATCGAAAGACAATCATAATATCTTAAAAGGAAGAAGAAGAGAAGAAAAAAGAAAAGAAAAAAAAAAACGTGAAAGGGAACCCAGGAAAAGGAGCTGAAGTAAAAAAAGAAAAAAAAAAGAAGACGAAGGAAAAGAAAGAAAGATAAAAGGAAACTAAACCGAAAGAAAAAGAAAGAAAGACGAAAGAATAATAATATTTTAAAAGGGAGAAAGGGGAAAAAAAGAAAAGGAAGGAGAAAAAGCCGTGAAAGGGAACCCAAGAAAGGGAGAGGAAGTAACAAAAAAAACAAAAAAACAAAAACAAAACAAAGAAGGCGAAGGAAAAGAAAAAAAAAAGAAGTAGAAGAAAGAAAAATAAACCAAAAGAAAAAAAGAAAGACGAAAACTTAATAATAACCTTAAAAAGGAAGAAAAAGAGAAAAAAGAAGAAGAAGAAAAAAAGAACGTGAAAAGGAACCCAGGAAAGGGACCTGGAATAACAAGAAAAGGAGAAGAAAAAAGAAGAAAAGGAGAGAAAAAAAAGAGAACCGTGAAAGGGAACCCAGGAAAGGAAGCCGAGGAGCGGTCGAAGAATGCTTGCAAACTTAATTGAATTAGCGATTCCTCGTGACGTAAAAACAAGATCTCATTACGGAGGTGAAATAAGATTTTTTTTTTCTTTTTTTTTCGAAAATCGATTTTATAGGTGTTTGTATGTCTTGTTTGTTTGTTTGTGTTGTTTGTTTGTGTGTGTGTGTCTGTTTGTGTGCGTATTGTTTGTTTGTGTGTGTTGTCTATGTGTTGTTTGTGTATGCGCGTGGGTGTCTGTTTATACGTTTATACGTATGTGTACATGTCGGTATGTGCGTGCCTCCATACATGTGAACATCTGTGTGAATCTTTATCCATCAGCA